GGGCGGCACAGCGGCGGCGGTGGCGACAGCGGCAAGATCGTGATCAACGTGGGCGGCGTGCGCCATGAGACGTACCGCTCGACGCTGCGCACCCTGCCGGGGACGCGGCTGGCCTGCCTGACCGAGCCGGAGGCGGCGGCGCGCTTCGACTACGACCCCGGCACGGACGAGTTCTTCTTCGACCGGCACCCGGGCGTCTTCGCCTACGTGCTCAACTACTACCGCACGGGCAAGCTGCACTGCCCTGCGGACGTGTGCGGGCCGCTCTTCGAGGAGGAGCTCACCTTCTGGGGCATCGACGAGACCGACGTGGAGCCCTGCTGCTGGATGACCTACCGGCAGCACCGCGACGCCGAGGAGGCGCTGGACATCTTCGAGAACCCGGACGGAGGCGGCGGCGGCGCGGGGCCCGGTGACGAGGCTGGCGACGACGAGCGGGAGCTGGCCCTGCAGCGCCTGGGGCCCCACGAGGGAGGCGCGGGCTCCGGCGCTGGGTCCGGGGGCTGCCGCGGCTGGCAACCCCGCATGTGGGCACTCTTCGAGGATCCCTACTCCTCCCGAGCGGCCAGGGTGAGTGGCAGGAGCCTAGGTCAACTCTCGGGTCTGCAAGGGGGCGCGTGGCGGCGGTAGGGTCGGCGCAGGGAGGAGCCTGAGCAAAACTGACCTTCCTGCCCCCCTGTTTCCCTCCCAGTTTCCCCTGCCTTCCGTGGGCCCCCAGGGATATCACCCCACCCCTGTCTCCCCTGCATAACTCATCAGGAGATTGCACACACTTGACTTACTACTTGGGCCGGCCTGCTTTGCTGCACCCCCTCCCAGCAAATAGGGTGCCCTTAGCTGAGCTCTTCCAACCCCTTCTTTCTGCACAGGCTCCCTACCTTCATCTACCCCCACTTCTCCACAGGGTCAAAGTCCTGGAGAGCTGCAGTTAGGCCTTCTGCCAGGGTCAGGCAGGGTCTAGGGGAAGAAAACTAGAGTGTTAATAACCCTGTGGCAGGCCCTTGGTCAGCCGCCTCCAGGTGGGCCACCTCACTTAAATGCTCCAGCAACTCAGAGTGCTGGGAACTAGGAGTTTGAGAGAGGCGGACACCAGCTTCGGCCTCTTCTGCTCAGAAAAGGCAGAGCTGGGACCAAAACTCCCGCCTATGGTCCAGGTTTAGGAGAGGCCTCTTTTCAGGGTGACAGGATGCCTGTCCCACACCAAGCCCCTAAGGCCTCCTGGACACCTGGGCTGTCCTGGCCTCAGGTGGGGTGAGCGGAGAGTCAGACAGGAAGGGCCTGATGGCTGGGCCCTGCAGGCTCCCACGGCCCCTGGCCAGCCACAGGCTGCCTGGTGATGAGCCCAGGTTTGTTGACGCGAATTCCTGCCGCAGCCCCGCTTGGTTTCCCAGAAAGGCCTAGTTCAGGGTTCTGCTTGAGATGGGTGTATGGCGTGGGTGGGGGGCAGCTTAGTCCCTTCCCACCATACCCTCCCCAAGTCAATCCAGTTTCCCCAAACCCCCTTAGGTGGAAGGGGGTGGTGGGGGGAGAGATATGCTTGGGCAGCTAAAAAACAACCATAAAGGATGGCTTTAGATTCTTTGAAAGAGGGATCCCTGGGGGCTGGCATGTGATCTTATGGCTGTCATCCTGAAGCATGCCCGGGTCTGTCTGGGACACAGTGTGTTGGGTCCGGGGACTGCCTACTGCTGTGGAAGCTGGTTCTGTCAGCTCTGGCATCCCAAGTTGTGGTGCTGATGAGCCTCAGCGCTCTGCTGCCCTCCCTAGCACCTCCTGTGCTGGGCCTCAACCTGGTCATGGAGGGAAAAGTTCCCTTCCACACCCCTTCCAGGGGAGGGCAGGAGATGGGGAGTGGGGTACAGGGAGGGGCCAGGCTGGCCTGCTAGACCAGGCCAGATGGCTCTTCTGCCTGGAAGAGGAGGGAGGAGCAGAGGTCTCAGTGGCCATGGCATGCCAGGCTGGGGCTGTAGGTGTCCCAGGGCAGCCCCTGGAAGGCAGGGACCTTCTTCGGGACTGAGAGTGAAGCTAGGGGCAGCTGCCCTTGTTTCTTCCCCTGGAGCCCCGAGACCAACTCAGAAGGTGAGGGCACAGCCATGACCCAGCCTGGGTCTGCTGTGAGTTCTGTGGGCCTCTCGATGCAGTTCCCTGACCCTGCTAGTGTCATCTGTTCGCTGAGATGACAAGTACAGAAAATTCAGGCTCCAAAGTGAGGGGCGGGGGAGCTGGAGGCAGATTTAGCTTGATAGAGGCGGGACAAGCCAAGGAGGCGGGGATGGGATGGAGGTTAGGGGAGCTAGGCCCTATTCCTGAGCATTCTGGAGACTTTCCACGTCCTCAGGTTCTTCCCTTTTGGATTCCAAGGGTCCGTGCCATCAGTGAGTTTATTTCCTCTTCAACTCACTGAAGAGTGGCCCAGCCAGGGAGCTGTGTGTAAGCTCAGAGCCTGGTCAGCCCCTTAAAGTCCTCCAGGAGCCCAACATCCTTTGCCTTTTTGGTATAGAGCTACATCAGCAGGGCATCCAGTTGAGGGTGGACATTTGGGGCCAGGCAGGGTTCAGTCTCCCCATTGAAGCAATACAGAACCAGGATTCAAAGCTGTGTCTCCTCAAAGACACTGAACCAATAGCTGAGCCAGCAACCCACCCTGCATTCGGTTTCCAGCCTTCTGGTCTTGGAGACTGATGTACACAGCTGTCTGGGGCTTTGGTGGCAGCCCTGCCAGAGAGCACGTGCCTCCTGTGAGGGAGCCCAGGCAAAGGCAAACCATCAGCTGTTCCTGGGACTCAAATGAAAATACAAAATTTTTAAAAATTAATAATAATTTAAAAATTAAACAACTGCCATTTATTGAACGCTCCATGCATATCCTCTGCACTAATCTCTAATCCCCCAATGAATTTACAGTGGCAGTATTATCCCAGGTTAATAGCTTGAGGCTGTGAGAGGGTAAACACCTTGCTTGAGATCACACAGCCAGATAGCGGCGGGCTGTGAATCAGCCAGGGCTCCCGACCCTCAAGCCCAGCTCCTCCCATTACAACATCTTTTCTCCACTGGAGGAGGCTGTTTTCAAGGTGGAGAGGTGGCCCCTTTCTTACTCTGGCTTGGGAGGTGTTCTGAGGGTCTGCACCTCCTGTGGATGACATCAGAACGCCCCGGGGTGGACGGTGACATCAGAAGTGACTCTTATTGTCATACCGCTCTAGGCCTGAGAGCCTGAGGTGTAGGGGTGCTGGGGCTCTGCCCTCCCCACTCTGACACCTGGGTCTGTGTGCATACCTTCCCTGGCAGGGGCCTGCAGCACCATGGCCTGCAGTGGCCTTGGGCTCCTCACTGAGGGCCAACAGGGCCCAGGAGCAGGACTCTGCCCCAGGCATCTCTGCACCAGCATCTGGTTTGAGTGGTGCATATGACAGGAGCAAACCAGATACCAACTGGAACAGCAAACTGAGCTGATTGTGGGAGCCTGTTCCTCAGCTTCGGGCCTGGCCCGGGCAGCCTTTGAGTCCAGGCCGGGGGTGTGCACCCTGCTCCCTTCACTGTGGCCAGGCCCATGGGCAGCTGTCTTATGGTTCTGTTTCTCTGGCCTGACCTAGGAACGGGGCACAAGGGGCAAGCTGGTCCTGTCCCTACCTGCTCATTGCCCTCAGTCCCAGGTAGAGTGGGGCTCAGCAACAGCCAGGGTGGCTTCTTAGACTGAGAGGGACCAGTGGCGGTTTTGGCAGCATCCGGAGCGGTAGAATCGGGCCTTCCTCCTTTTCCCAGGGCAGACCTGACGCCCGATGAATGGGACCCAGACACTCCTCTCCCTCGCCCCGGTCTGCAGAGGTGCCAGGGGCTGGGCTGGCTTAGCTCACTTAGCCCTTGGGCTAAGTCAGGACCTGGATTGAGTTTTCCCAGGATGTTTCCCTCCTAAGTGGAGGACATGACGCACAGGACCCCCGCTGCCCAGGAAGGCAGCTGGAGCTGCGTTTTCACATCGATTAAGCATCCTGTGTCAGGTGTTGTCGCTTCTGCTTTCTTATAATGTCTCGTCTGGCCCTTGTGAGGCAGGAATTATTATCAGTTTACAGAGAAGGAAACTGAGGCCCTGACCGGCTTGCTCAAGGTCACGCAGCTGGTGGTAAACTAGGATCCAAAGCCAGACCTCATGAATCCGCCTGCTCATACCAGGGCCTCAGCTCCTCCTGGGGCTTCCTCTGGGCATTGGACTTAGGAGGGCTCAGAGGGGCCCCTCTGCTGTCCCCTACCCCTTCCCTCACTTCTCCCTCCATCCCCAGAATTCCTCGCCTCTGAGCTTGCTCACTCTCTTTTCTCTCACTGTAGGACGTTCATAGGACAAAAAGAAAGGAGACTAGGTGTCCCTGGTCCAGGCAGAGGACTGAAACCGAGGCCTTCTAGAGAGGAAACAGAGCTCGGTTCTCTCGCCCCTGCTGAGGTTCCCAGCTTCTCAGCCCAGGCATTGCCTGGGACCAGCTGGTCAGTGGACGTGACAAGCTTTAGAATGAGGGCAGGACTCACTGGTCCCTCGCCCTCTGGGCTAGGAGAGCCAGCCAGCTGAGCCCGAGCCTGGGTGCTGGCTGCCCTGCCTTCCCCAGCCCCCCAGGAGGGCAGTGCTCCAGGCCTCAGGGCAGCCCCTCTGCCTCCTCCAGGAAGAAGAGTGATGTCAGGCCCAGGGCCACAGCCCCCACCTTCAGCCCCGAGGTAGCCTCCATGTCCTCCTGGGTTGGTTTTGTGTTTTCCTTGCTGGTTCTCACAGCCTAACAGTTGCCACTTGAACATCTTGTCTCTGGGTGATGAGGTGTTTCTGTCACTGTTTGGGGTTGGGTGTAAAGTGGGGGAGGGGATTAAATAAAGTCGGGCTATTTTGGGGAGTTGGGGGAAGAGCAGGCAAGAACAGTCAGGCAGCTGGGCCTCGGGAACAGGGAGCCCCCAGGCCCCTCCCCTCCACATGAACAGTGTCGGCCTGGGATGCTGGGCACCAGGGCTCTCATACCATCCTTGTGCCTGGGTAGCCCGCCTGCCACGACCTCTGCCCAGCTCCCTGCTGGGGGAGATTTTAGGCTGCTGATGGTTACCTTGCCCCTGGCAGGGTCCCCATCAGTCAGTAAACTTGGCCCAACTCGGAGAGCCAGAGTCTGAGAGCCTAGGTGCCTGGAGGCGTTCCTGGGCACACCTGAGTCCCATGCAGCACCAGTTAGTGGGGCTGACCATCTTGTGACAGGCTCCCAGGATCTGGAAAGGGAGCAGGCAGACCCCTTGGCTCCATTCGTTCAGAAAACATTTATTGAGCACTTATTACGTGCCCAACACCAAGCTAGGCTCTATGAATATAAAGACGAGTCAGAGGTAGTATTTATTCCTGAAAAGAGCCTGGTTAGGTACAGTAGGTGGCAGTTGGGGGAAATTAGGTGACAAGAAATAGTAATGTAATACAAGATAGGTCAGGAGAGGTGTCCAGTAATCTTAAAAATCAAAGTTCAGTGGAGGTAAGAGGAGGAAGTGGTAAGTTCTACCTCTACATGGGCCACGTGGGGTGTGTGTGCAAGAAAGCTTCTACGAGGAAATAGAAGGTACCCTGGGGAGGCCCTGCAGGGTAATGACTTAACTCCCTGAAATAAATTCTAGAAGGAGGCAGGTTATAAATAAGTAAGTCTTCAATGTGGGTAGTGTTTACCCATGCAAAGCTAGGGAAGAGGGGAACTTCCTGGCCAGGGGACCAGCTGGAGCAGAGATAGGACAGCTTGGGACACAATGGGCAATATTTGGCTGGATAAGTTCTGGGCCAGTGGTCCGGGTTGGACTGAATTCCTTCTGGGGCAGGGACTCATTGGCTGTAGGCAGCTCAATGGCCCTGAGGGGCCCCAAGTGCTGGCTTGGCAGAGGGTGGGATCAGGTAGAGGCTGGCTGTGGACACTGGAACCAGTGGCTCCTGGGCCAGGATGGGAGGGCCCAGGGCCAGGTTCTGCTCCTAGGGGAGTGAGGGTCTCTTGGCTAAAACCTGGGCCTCATAGTGCAAGCCTGTCCCCAGGAGCCCAGGGATGGCTTAGGTGCCTTACCTTGCAGGCTGTAGCTACTTGCCTCCTCTTAGCCTCCAGGGCTTCCCACTCTTTTCCCAGCACTTCCTGGGTACTAGGCTCTTGCTTCCCCAAAAGGCTCAGCTCCTCATCTCATCCCCACAGATCTTCCTCTGCAAGTCTCTTGGGCTGTGTTCTCAAATTTCTCTTCTACACTTCATCCTTAATATAGGTATTTGGGCATGAATCTCCTTATGTTTATCTGTCCATCTGTCTCCTTGGCCCTTCCTCCTTAGGCTCCACTCCCCTGCCCCAACTGGTTGTATTCAGTTCCCAATGACTGGTGTCTGTCACCTCCCAACCACCCCCTGGCCTCTGCCAGATTCCTGAGACACTCTAGGCTCTGTGCTGAGTTTTACCAATATTTGTTTTAATCCTCAAAACAACCCTATAAGGTAAGTACTACTCTCATCCCCCTTAACACATCAAGCATGCAATAGCCTCAGGACCTTTGCACTGCCTGTCCCCTCTGCCTTTCAGCCTTTTTGGATCATCTCATAACTTACTCCTTCAGTCTCTGCTTAGATGTCACCTTGGCATTGAGGCCTTGCCTGAGAAATGGGCACATGTGGCTACCCTTTACCTGCCCTCATCTTCTGAAAAGTGAAGGTGAGGGGTAGAAGTGACTACATGGGATAGTTTTGTGTTAAAAAAAAAAAAAAGCTAAAGTGAGTGCACACTGCAGGAATTCAGGGGGCAGTTCCCGATGCAGGAGGGGTGCTTTGCACTCACTGGGCCTGCTGCAGAAGGACCTTGGGGCAGCAGGGGAGGAGGCACCAGGCAGGCTCCTTGGCCCTGTGAGGTAAGAGTGGCCTAGGCCACAGGGTCCCCCCTCCCCTTCCTCTTCTCTGCTCCCTCTGCTCCGCCCCTTGGCAGCTCTTCCTAAACTTGTTTTTCCAAATCACTAATTACCTTCACACTGGGCTCCCAGGTGGGCCAATCCTCCTGGCTCACTTTCCCTCAGAGAGCAAGCTCCTGCTTCCCATGCTTCTTGGCAGGGCTGAGATGTGCTGTCCCCACCCCTTACCTCAACATCCTTTGCTTCTGGGGTTAGGGGTGCACCAGGACTGTGGGCTCCCAGCATCACCATGGCCACTGGACAGCTCATCTCTGGATGGCCACAGAGAGCTCATAGGTTGGAGCCATTTGCCAAATGCCATGCCCACAACCAGCTTGTGTCACCCTGACATCCCATTTCTTCAGGGGAAGAACACTGAGGTCAGGAAAGGAACTTGAAATTTACCTTTGTGGGGAAAAAGCAGGCAGGAGAAGCTCCAGCAAAGTTGTTAGGTGGGGAAGTGTGTCTGTGGTCGGCTACCCGCCGTGTCCTTCCCTGCTCTGTCTGATCAGCCCGTCCATATCCAAGTGTAAATCAGGTAAGTCTTGCCCTGGCTGGTGTGGCTCGGTTGGAGTGTCGTTCCATGCACCCCAAGGTCAAGGATCCGATTCCCGGTCAGGGCATGTACCTAAGTTTCGGGTTCGATCCCAGGTCAGGGTGCGTATGGGAGGCAACTAATCAATTTCTCTCTCTCACACTGATGTTTCTCTCTCCTCCCTCTCTAAAATCGTTAAATAATTCTTAGTGTGTAATGGGTGTCTGTCCTAAGCCATAGGACCACATCCCTAAGGGTGACATAGTCATTAGGGAGCTGGCTGGGAGCAATACTGACAATTCAGAGAAAACTTCCCGGGCTTGTGAATTGACCCTGGCTGGGAGGTGGTGCAGACTGACGTGAAGAGATGGTACAGTCTCTGAAGCTAAGCAGTACTGGGTTCAAGTTGTTTCCACCCCTTGCAGGCTGTGTGACATTTGGCAAGTATAGACCCTCTCTGGTCCTCAGTTCCTCCTTCATAAAATGGGATATCGAGGCTTGCTTCACAGGGTCCCTGGGAGGACAGAGTGCCCCGCTGTGCGAGGCACAGAATAGGCAGCTGATGAATTTTCATTCTCCAAGTTCCCTCCTCAGACTGGCTCCTGCTCCTGCTGGCCTCATTTTCCCAGATCCCCCTGTGTTCTCCACAGGGGGATTTAATGTGTTTTAATGTGGCCCCCTTTCCCCTATCCTGGTGCAGACTCGCAGGGAGGGGAGCAGCTCCGAGAGGCATCATCAGACAGGGCAGGTGGAAATCAGGCATGGAGGCAGATGCAGTTGCCAAGTGGTCGTGGGGCCGTGGTCCTCTCTCACCCACTGATTTTGGCTCAGCCCCGTGCTCAGGGAGGAAGCCCACCCTCACCCAGCAAGCAGAACAGGCTGCGTCATGGGCCCTGGACCCCAGCGACGGGCACCCAGACAGTGGTGAGTGGCAGCGCATGAATAACCGACGAAGGCTCCCTAATTGGTGTTATTACACATGCATTTCATCTCCATTCATAATGACGGGACACTTAAACCCAGCCGATCCTCTGCCGAGTGCCGCTGTCGTCGCTCCAGCCGTGATCCCAGCAGCTGTCTCGACCAGCCGCTGGCACGCTCTGATCCTAGTGGGTGCAGTTCATTTTTCTTTGGAGCTCAGGGTTCAGGCAATGTCAGTTCTGGGGAGGGGGCGGGTGGTTATTCTGAGCAGACCACCCTGTCTCCTGCTGTGGACTGTGCCGTCTTCCTTCAGGCTCTTCTCACTGTCGGGGCAGTCAGCTGGGACATCCTAAGGTGAGAGGCAAGAAAGAGGGGTTTGGGCTTGGGGCTTCCTGATGTGGGTCATGGCTGGAGCTTAATAGGCTCAGCCAACAGAAAGGGGCCCAGGGTCATCCCCTCCAGCCCCCTGCCTCGGCTTATCCCACAGTACAGTGGGCCTCAAAATTTAGTGTGCCTCAGAATTATCTGGAAAGTGTGTTAAAACATTGCTGAGCCCTCCCCGCAGCATTTCTCATTCAGCAGGTTCGAGTGGGGCCTGAGAATCTGCGTTTCTAATGCATTCCCAGGTGATGCTGTGCTGCTGGTCCTGCACCCCACTTGGAGGAGCAGTGACTGCTGAAAAGCTTCATTGCTCAGAGCACGGCCAGCGGACAGGCAGCCAGGCCTGAGAGCTTGTTAGAAATGCAGAATCCCAGGCCCTGCCCCAAGCGCCAGAAGCAGTGGCATTTTAACAAATTCCCCAATGATCGACACACCCATGCCAGTTTGAGAAGCCTTAAAACACAGCTGGATTAGAGATGGGCAGAGCTAGGCAGCGAGCAGAGTGGGGCAGCCACAGTCAGTTGCTTCCAGCCAGGAGCAGCGCTGAATTTCTAGGCACTGTGACAAAGATTGGGAAGTATTGCCTTTATTTTTATTTATTTTTTAAATATATCTTTACTGATTTTAGAGAGAGGAAAGGAGACGGAGAGAGAGATAGAAACATCAATGATGAGAGAGTCATTGATCGAGCCCGCAACCCGGGCATGTGCCCTGACCGGGAATCGAACCCCGATCACCTGGATCCTAGGTCGATGCTCAACCCCTGAGCCACACCGGGCCGGGCGGGAAGTATTGCCTTAAAGCATCCGAGGAGATAAGTAAAGACCCTGTGAGGAGGGAATTCTAGCTCCTGACTGTGTCCTTGAACCCCACCTGTCGCCATGTATTTCTTGGACTGCCTGGTGGCCCGTGTCCCCCACCTCTACAAGCAGAGGCCCCTATCTGACAGTTACCCCCCCCCACCCACAGGTGGTGGCCTTTGCCTCTCTCTTCTTCATCCTGGTCTCCATCACCACCTTCTGCCTGGAGACCCACGAGGCCTTCAACATCGACCGCAACGTGACGGAGATCCACCGCGTGGGGAACACCACCAGCGTGCGCTTCCGGCGCGAGGTGGAGACGGAGCCCATCCTGACCTACATCGAGGGTGTGTGCGTGCTGTGGTTCACGCTGGAGTTCCTGGTGCGCATCGTGTGCTGCCCGGACACGCTGGACTTCGTCAAGAACCTGCTGAACATCATCGACTTCGTGGCCATCCTGCCCTTCTACCTGGAGGTGGGGCTGAGCGGCCTGTCGTCCAAGGCGGCGCGCGACGTGCTGGGCTTCCTGCGGGTGGTGCGCTTCGTGCGCATCCTGCGCATCTTCAAGCTCACGCGCCACTTCGTGGGGCTGCGCGTGCTGGGCCACACGCTGCGGGCCAGCACCAACGAGTTCCTGCTGCTCATCATCTTCCTGGCGCTGGGCGTGCTCATCTTCGCCACCATGATCTACTACGCCGAGCGCATTGGCGCCCGGCCCTCCGACCCGCGGGGCAACGACCACACCGACTTCAAGAACATCCCCATCGGCTTCTGGTGGGCCGTGGTCACCATGACGACGCTGGGCTACGGGGACATGTACCCCAAGACGTGGTCGGGCATGCTGGTGGGGGCGCTGTGTGCGCTGGCCGGGGTGCTCACCATCGCCATGCCCGTGCCCGTCATTGTCAACAACTTCGGCATGTACTACTCCCTGGCCATGGCCAAGCAGAAGCTGCCCAAGAAACGGAAGAAGCACGTGCCACGGCCACCCCAGCTGGAGTCGCCCATTTACTGCAAGTCTGAGGAGACCTCGCCCCGGGACAGCACCTACAGTGACACCAGCCCCCATGCCCAGGAGGAGGGCATGGTCGAGAGGAAACGGGCAGGTGAGATTGGAGTTTGGGAAAGAAGGCCACCTCCCTGCAGTGGCCCAGGGAGCCCCAGGTGTTCCTCAGCCCTCAGAACCGGGGATTGTGCTTTACTGCTCTGGGCTCCCCTAAGTGTGGCACGTGCCTTTATGAGGGCAAAGTACTGAGGCCGAATCTCTCTATCCTTTGGTTCTCTGACAGCGTCCTGAGCAGCAGGGTCTGTGGAGTGACTGTCCCTGTGAACTTAGGCTGCGGGGGGGGGGCGTGCATGGGGCTGTAAGTTAGAAGCCTAGGTTTCTAGGTTTCTAATCTGGTCTTGACCACTCTGGTGTGCCCTGAGGCCAGTCACTCACCCTCCATGGGTCTAGATTCCTCACTTGTAAAATGGGAATGACATTAATCTCCTACTCCCAGGATTTTGATGGGACCCAAACAAATGACAAATAAAAGTCCTTTGAGACGTTAAAGCCACTTTACAAATATCAGGCGCTGCCATGATTAGCTGGAGAGCAGGGCAGCTGTTCTTCCAAGGTGCATCAACACATGAATCATTTCTCCAAACCTTTGAGGCTGCTGCCTCTTGGCTTAATAAATGTGATAACGTAACAGCAGTGGGAGGCTGCCTTCTGTCAGCACAAGCTGGATTGAGTCCTGGGCTTGGGGTTTGACACGGATGGGAGGGAACCCAGAGGCAGTGGCCCGGCAGTGTTGGGAAAGGTTGCAGCAGCTGGTGTCTGCGTCCTGGAAGGGGAGGATCTGAGGGTCTGAACCCCATTCTGCAAGGATGGGAAAGGCCACCAGGAAAGCTGCTGCCACCTGAGTCAGGAGATGGAAAGGAGATTGGCTTAACCCTTGGCACGGTGGAGTTAGGCCAGAGAATGGGAGCCTAACTGTTGCGTATGGGACGGGCTTCTAAGGGAAGTTGGGATTCCTGGCCGTTGGGTGCCAGGCCATCAGGGAGTTGGAGGTAGGCCAGGACACTAAGGTAGCAGCTGGCTAGGCTCTGTGGGCAAAGTGGGACTTGTCCTCCTCGGCAGGTGCCTGACTTGGGACACTCACCTATGGCCTGTTGGTGGGTGCCCAGCGTACATGCTGAAGCCACTCATTGCCTGGGGCCATTCAGGGGCCTGGGTCTTCCATAGACCTTGGTGAAACAGCACCCATTATGCTCTCTTCTCTCCCCTACCAAAGTGGTACCCCCATCCCCATCCCTGAGTATAAATCTCCCAGCCGGTGCCCGAGGGAATGCAGCTGTACCCCGAGGCCCATCCAGGGCTCAGAGGGAACCTAATATCACAGTGTGCAAGTCTGTAGGCCAGCCGCTCAGCACACACTAACCTGGGGCCGTCAGCCATGCCCCTCACTGCTTGGCCACAGTGAGGGCATTACTGGCCACTGCCGGGGCCATTGCCTTCAGACCGAGCAGCCCCCCTTCTCCAGATCCAAGGGACCAGCTTCACCTGGGCTGCTGCCTAATGGAGCAGAGCTTGGGGCAAAGAGCCCGCTGCTTTAGGAGCTGAATTGGAGCCTCTTTCCCTGCCAGGGTCCCCCAGACACAGGTTAGCCCCAGGCACAGAGAGCTCTGAATCCTTCAGGCACTCAACTCTAGCTTGGATGCCTGGTGGACCAGAGGAACTGCCTTTGGGTGGTCCTGGCAGATAGCTGTAAGAGCCACTGTTGGTGTAACCCTGGCAGTGCACCTGTCACCCCAACAAGGCAGTCAGTCTCTGAGGCCCATTCCCTGCGTCCCCTTGGAGAAGTGACATGCTAGGTCTGGGATCTGGACAGCCCCAGGTGACCCAGTGAGGAAGGCCCGGGCAGCCCTCACATGCGTCCTTCCTGTCTGACCCCTTAGATTCCAAGCAGAACGGAGATGCCAATGCGATGCTGTCTGACGAGGAGGGAGCTGGCCTCACCCAGCCCCTGGCCTCCGCCCCCACCCCAGAGGAGCGCCGGGCCCTGCGACGTTCCGGCACCCGTGACAGAAACAAGAAGGCAGCCGCCTGCTTCCTGCTCAGCGCCGGGGACTATGCCTGTGCCGACGGTAGTGTCCGGAAAGGTATGGCTCCCCGGGCTGGGCAGGTGGGGAGCCCCCGCAGAGCTGGGTCTCCCCAGTGTCCCCCACAAAGTTTGAAGTCCTCTCATCCCCTGAGGCCGTGGCCATCATCTCCTCTGCCTTGGACACGCCCCCACTTTTAGGATGTGTACCCTGATCTCCCAGCCCCTGATTTCCTTAGAAAGGCCCAGAGAATCCCCAGAAGGTACACACAGACCACTCTGCAGGTGCCCACAGGGAAGACAAGTGCTGACTAAGAGGAGATGTAGGATCAGGGGTCTCTGCCCCTCTCCTCCATTTTGTCACCTTCTCCTCTGGTTCCTGCTGTGACCTTCAGGCCTGGCTTCCCAGGGTCACTGCCTATCTTTCTTTTGGCCTTCTTAAACATGGCTAAGGCTTCCCCAAGTAAGTAGTCCCAACAGCACTCAGGAGTCAGGGTACGAATGGGGTGCTGGTGTGAGGTCCCCTGGTGCAGGCCTACCGCCTCCGGGGGAGCCTGGAGCCCAGGAGGGGCTTACCCAGCTCTGCAAGCCCCTGGGGTGTGACTTGAGTAAAGCTAGAGGTGACAGGGAAGGGTGGGCTGGGAGAGTGGGTCCCCTCTAAGCTGGGTTCTGAAGGGTTTGGAGAGTGCAGAGAGGCAGCTCATGGCCTCTGGTCATGGAAGGCTGCAATGCCATCAGCAGACCTCAGACCTGCACAGGCCCCAGCATCAGTGGGCGGTGGAGCTAGGGTTCCTGGCCTGGGAGGGCGGCAGGAATGATCAGTGGTGGCTGCAGGCCAGTGTGGCTGGGGACCAGGGACCTCAGGACCAGATGCTTCTTCTGCCCAATCCCTAATGACTTTTTTTTTGGTCTTTCTTGCCCTGTCCTGTGACCTAACCTGCTTAAACACCCTGCCTAGTTTCAGAATCAACCGTGACTCCCCGCAAACAAAGCCTTGCCCTGGTTCTTGGGCCACTTCTTAACCAGCCCTCCCTCAGCCCAATCCCTCCTGCCACTTCCCACTGTCCCCAAACCCCAGAACAAGTCTGGGTTGAATGAGGCAGGGGCAGTGGCTGCTGCAGGAATAGCCTGTGATGCCTCAGTCCCCCCAAGGATGTCTCCCTACCTGTCCAGCCCATGCAGCCTCCAGAGCCACCTGCTCAGGCCTTGTTCCTGGCCCTCTCAATGCCACTGTTCCCACAGGATCCCCAGGTGCCCTGGCCCTAACCAGGCCCTGAGAGGCATATGTCAGCATAAGTCCTGTTGGGTGTCAGAAGCAGGAGCTATGATCTGGCAGCTGGAAGGAAATAGCCCAGAGGCGCCAGCCAAAGGGCTGCAGATGGCTGTGCTCTGACCTCTGCCCCTCTTCTGTGCCCCTCTGGTCACCCCTGGCTTCTGTGTGCCCCAATCCTCTGTGGCTTCCACTGTGTCCTGGTCAGACCCAGACCCTATTCTGGCTGGAGCTTACTAAGTGGCCAGCCCAGAATATGAGGAGGGGACCCCACCCTCCTATAGGACTTGAGCCCCCTGCTTTCATTCCAGTGTGGTGAGGAGTTCAGTGGAAGAGGGTTGAGGGTGCAGGTCGGGAAGGCCCATGAGGTGTGGGAAGCAGGTGGCTCCGGGGGAAGGAGTCACACGTGTGCGTGCATGGGGCCTGCGTCCCACCACCATTCTCTGGGTGCTCATGAGGACCGGCTGCTCTATTTTCAAGATGCCTCCACACTGCTTCTTGGCAACAAGCGTGTAACTCAGCCAATTAGAGTGACCTTCAAGAGGGAACAGGTGGGTTGCCGGGAAACAGGCCATGCGGTGTGCTCTCGGCAACTTTTCCCTGTGCCAGGCCCTGCTGCACTCATGTGTCTGCACTTGGGCTCATTTAGGATAGGAGTGAGTGGGCACAGGCCTCCTCCTGTCACCGGTGCAGACCCCATTGTTAGCCAGGGAAGGTGGCAGATGCTAACTAGGACTTCTTAGGGTTGAGAAAGGAGGGTGCTGGGATCTTTGTGCAGCTCGAGGGGAATTTAGCTGGGGACAGCGAACGGCAGGGCAGAGGTCAGCTGGGTGTGTGGCCCTGGAGTCCGTCTTCAGGAGCCCAGGTGATGCAGGGAGCTTTTCCCAGGTAGGCCAACCCTCCACCCAACCTGGACCACCTGCCCTGCATGGTCCCCTGGAGCACAGATGTCCTGGAGCGAGCCCCTCAGGTGAGAAGCACGCCCTCTGACCCCTGTGCCTTTTCTTTACCAAGGCCGTGAAAAGTCCAGGAGTCTAAACAACATAGCCGGAGTGGCCGGAACCAGTCTGGGGCTGTCTCCACTGGCGTCCCGATACAGCTCACCCTACCCTCCAAGAAAGCTTCTGCTCTCCCTCCCCAGCCCGCCTCCCGGACACTTGGCCCCTTAGCTGCACCTCAGCCCTCCTGCTCTGGGCCGCACACACAAGCAGACACGCTCATGTCCGCCAGCCCCTGTTCCTCCTGGGGCCTGAGGGAGCCTGGTGGGGTGCAGGAGAATTCAGGCCCCCTGAGCCTCTCCTCCACAGGACCCAGATCCCCACAATGCTCAGGTTTGGGCCTGAGAGCAGAGGGGATTACTCTCAGGGGCCCGCACCCCCAGGACCTGTGTCTCTGAGCCCTGCTTCCCCTACAGAATCCCACCTTAATCACAGCAAATATACTTCCATTCCTTGTGGTCTTCAACCAGTAACCAAACAGCCTGCAACTAATGTCTGTCTGTCTGTCCCTCCCACGCCCAGACCAGCGAAGACTAAGGCTGTCCTGTGGGGCTTCTCTCCCGAGGGGAGCAGTGCCACTCTAGGAGAAGAGGCCTGCTGTTCTCCAGCTGTGGCCTGGGGTGCAGGTGGCGTTCCTAGAGTCGAGCCCCAGGATTGGTCACCTGGGTGCAGGGAGGCCCTCCTCTCCCGGTGACACCCATCTGCGGGGCCCAGCATCCCATCTGCGCCTTGAGCCTCAGCACCTCTCTCCATGCTGCTTTTTCCTTCCCTCTCCGCTGCCTCACACTCCCACCCAGCCTGAGTCCCTGCTGCTCCCACCCAGCCTCTGCACTGTGTTGCTGCCAGAACCGGAGACTCATCTAATTTCTATAATTAAGTGTATTCATTTACCTAACGAGCCCAGGAGCACAACAGGTTTGTGAGTCACTGTGTGAGCAAGGCTGCACCTTGGGCAGGGGCAGCAGAGGGGTAGTGTGAGGACAGAGCCATCCTGCCCCCGCCACTCTGGCAGGGCACACGGCCACCCCTGGGGAGGGCCGAGCCGCAGGGGCCCTCCCCCAGCAGCACACAGAGCAGGGCTCTTCAGGGGGGCCGTCCGCAGCCCAGGGCCCAGGGCCACAGAGCACCAGGCCAGTCCTTCCCTGTTTCACCTGATGGGAATGAGACCTGACAGTGGAGCCGTGCGCCTGGCAATTTTTAGAGTCAGATTATGCAACTTTGTTGAGGGAATGACTAGGGAAGGGCCGGATCTGCTTCCTCCAGGGTGGGCAGAGAGAGGTATGGCAGGACAGTATTCGGGAGGATGCTGGGAAAACACCCTGAGAGGCAGACTGGGAAGAAAGGTCAGGGCATCTCCTGGTGTGCTGGGAGCATCCATGTCAGTGTCTTCCTCAGCCTTGGGCTGACCCGGAATGTGCCTTCCAGAAGCATCTATTCCAGGTGGGAGCTGGGAGAGCCCAGCCCTGCTGTGGTCTCTGGGGCCTGTCTCCCACTTTCTCAGAATGAAATGTCCTCCTCAGAATTGAGAAGATACAGGGGTATCCATGTGACCACCCTGAAGAGGGAACAGGTCCCTTTAAGAGACAGGGAGGGGAAAGCCCTGGGATCAGGATGGAGATGCCAGGCACCTTCTCCCTTCTCGCCTCGCAGCTGAGTGCGAGGGCCCAGCTGCTTCTTCGAGAGGACAAGCTCAGTCCTGCCCTTGCGGGGCTCCCTGGCACCAGGGCCCTGGCCCTGATGGGGACATGATGACCTAGGTGTCCAGTTTAGCACGGGCGCCACAGCTATTTTCTCCTCTGACTGCGTTACTGGTTCAGGGAACTGAGGCGGCTATTTCTGTGGCAGCCTTCGAGTTGTCAGGAGCCCAAGTTTCCACGGCACCCACCGCCTCCTTCCCGCCCACAGGGATGGGCCTGCTCATGGCACCCCTGCGGTGGGCACAGATGTCCCTGGGCGACATGATGCAGCAGTGCCAGGCTGGAGCCCTTGGTGCCTTGGGAGAGGGGCTCCCACATGGCCCTCCCAACCCCTTGGCTTCTGTAGGGGAGAACCAGCACCTAGCTAATGGGAGAGCTCCCCCACAACCTCTCAGGAACTCGGCCTCCCTGGGGCCCTGGGGAAAAGCAAAACATGTTCTGAGCTTACAGACACCCCAGATCTGCCTGGGGAGGCAGCTGCCTGCAGGGCCTCAGGCTGGCCCAGCCTTGGGCCTCCCTCCTCTGGGAAGACTCTCCCTTCCCCCGCAATCTGAAAGCACAGTTCACTTCACGTTGGATCTTGACTTGGGCCTGTACTTGGCTCCTAGAAGCCTTCCCTCCATTGGTGGGGCCCAGCCTCTCCCTGCAGAGCAGGGAAGAAGCCTGGTAGGAGTTGTTAACCTTACCTTCCTGTTTGTACCAGGCCTACAGGCAACCCTAGTGGCCGCTTCTCAGCCCCCAGGGCTTCTGAGAGGAGTGGCTGTGAGCTGGAGCCAGAGGGGTTTGATTTCTCAATAAGATGCAGCTTTCCGGCCTTTTGTTCTGAGATGAGCTTATTCATGCTCCCCAACCCTCCTGGTCGGCAGCTTTCACCCCTCCAGCCCCTGGGACTCCGCTCCTGCCCCATTGAGGAATGGGGGCCGGGCAGGCCATGCAGCAGTCTCAGCCCTGCGGAACAGTGGGAGCGCCCCAGGTGGCAGTAGCAGATGGAGCCTTGTGGGGGGATCCCAAGGGGGGAGGCAGCAGCCCGGGTGATGGCTCGGGGGTTACCAGGCAGGAAGCCCCACTGCCTCATGCATGCTGCAGAGCTGGGTCCCTCTCTCCTGGGCTGGTGGTTCCTGGGGCTCATTACCTGAGCAGGTACGGAGATGAGCTGTAACGTCACCTGGGAGTCACCTTGGCCCAGAGCTGGGTTGGCAGAGGGGTGATGAAGGGGCTCACCCCATCCCCTGCCCCATCCCTGCCCTTCCTGGTCTCAGCCCCGGGGCTCATGCTGTCCAGCTCTGCTCCTGGCCTGCTCTCTACCCCACAGCCTGCCGGTCAGCAGCTGCCTTCCTTCTAACGTCTCGTTCTTTGTGTCTCCCTTTCTTTTGCTGAACTCCTGTCCTCCACCCCCCGAAGGCAATGTTGAGCCGAAAGCGCGCGTCCCAGTGTCTCACACCTGTGCTCTTTAAACACAGAGACCTGCCAAGACGCCCTCTCGTCCAACTATGCCCAGGCTGAAGTCCTCACCCTCTCTTAAAGCGGCACCAACGCGAGAGAGACAGGCAGACAGACAGAAAGCCAGAGGCTTAGGGGAACTCTGGAACCCAGGCAAGAATTTTCGCTGGGCAAGACTCAGAGATCCTTGTTGGCGCGGGACTGACGGAAAACCTCCCGTGTGACCCTCGGGGCCTGGGGCCATCTGGGCCTGACATTTTGTTCTGTTGTACATTGAAGAGATATATATGCACATATAGTATCTATATTCATACATACTATACTCTTGTGTGTAGTGCACGTGCTATTGGTGGTCTGTCTTCGTGAGGCTGTCTCCCCAAGCCCTTGCCCCTCCCCCAGGCCCCTGTTCCCTTCCCTTCACCGATTCCTTGTCTGTGTTGTACGTGCAGCGTGTGGAATGTTCCAAGAAAAGTGTACCTGGAACTACCCATCCAGCTGGGTGGTCCCAGGCTAGACTCTCCTGGGGGTGTTTCCCCTGTGGGCTGGTGGCCTGTGAAGGGCCACATTGCCCCCCAGGGTCACTGCTCCACTAGCCCCATCCCACCCCAGATTGGGGTTCTACCTCCCACCCCACGCCCCAGTTGTGGGGGGATTTCCAGGGGCTTCTCTGCAGCTTCTTCCGCCCCCGCCCCCACCTTACCTGTGTCCTTGACTGAGGGAGTGTTTTGCCTTTTTTTTCTTTTTGGTTTTTCTGTCTCCCTTGTCCGTTTGTTTTCAAAGATGCTGCTGGGCAGACGAGCAGGGAAGGGGGTCTGTCTGCCCACCGGGCTCAGGGGTCTGAGAAGGGGAAGCCTCGGGCGAGTGGAGACCAGTTGCAATACTGTACTTCCTGGCCGGTGGCCAGAGGACGAGTGCAATAGCGGAGGCCGGGTGACCCCTTCAACCTTGGCCTCTGCCCCTCCCTCGGCCCTTCCTCCCCACTCCCAGCCCAGCCCTGCCCCTCCCTGGTGTTTGTCGGTCCTGGTGTTGGTCAGTCCTTTTCTAAAGCTGTCCCCCTCTCGTGTGTCTGAGGCAAGGCTAGGCCAGGGCCCTGTCACCCTGTCTGCATGCCTTCGACTGTCATGCTGTGCTCGACCCTCAATAAAGACATCTGGAGCGTCTAGCTGCTCCTGCTGTGTGAGTGACTGCCTCGCCTCTCCTTTCCAGCTCTGCGTCTGTGGGGACCTCCCTGGGCCTCCATCCCAACACCTGAGAAACGAAACACCCTCCTATCATAACCCCCCCCCCC